CTTTATGTCGAAAAACCTTTGTAAAAGGTTCATTGGTAATATTCTATTCATTATGTAACGATAGGATACCTCTGACATATAAGCTTCCCCTATAATTACCAATAAGCCACCTACGACGTCAAGCGGCGGGGCAACATTTTAGGCGTGAAATGTGACCTTTTTTCGCTCTTACAGCGTTTTATGATAATGACTCAAAAACGAACTAGGCCGTCAAAATTCTCGAGATCTGAGTCAACTAATGATTAGCAAAGCTTTAGTGAAGAGCAATATCGTAGCCACCGCCGAGCAATTAAAGAAAATTGAGTGTGAAACTAATCTAATTTTTGCTGTTGCAGCGTAATAAAAAGCCTTTCTTCATAACTGAGTATGTCATTAAGATCGCAGAAAATTAAGCTTTTGATTTTTGACTAAATGTTTAGGAGAAAGTTTATATGCAGCGAGAAATGCCTTCAAATAATCGTGTACTTCAGCTGGTACACGTCGTCCCTCAAAGGTTAAACAACTTACGTTCCCGAAATTTACATATATTAGTCATTGATGCCAAGTTCTGAATTCAGAGAGATGACTTATAGGTCGTGAAATCATGCCCACAGTTCCAGAGAAGCAAGTACCACCTCGGAAATTTGACGAAGACCACTAACGGCAATCAAAAAACGCTGTGCTTTTGACGAGTTGGCAGTGATTTCAAATGAAAGCAGAGAGCTTGGCGCATTAGTATTATCTATACCAAAGTAATTTCTCATTACTTGCCTCCTCAGTGGATAATTCGGGAACACTAACAGCATCGAGCACCGTGACAGTTGAAGTATCGCAAGAAAACTAACACCATTTCCTTCGGAGTTTTCTATGCGGAATGTGAACGATAGACGCATTGTCGTTACCAATTTAAAGAACGAAAGTGCTTTTAAAGTGATAAACGGTGATAATGAGCAAACTCCACGTTAGTACAGAGGTATGCACAAGCTCTGGTAAGAGTGAGACGAGAGTTCAATTCACGCGAGAGGTTCAACGATTTGTGTAACACCTAACATTCTTCGATATATAGTGATTACATTATACCACTGCTAAAGAAGCCTCAAAGCGGAAAGAATTCTTGTTTTTAATGTTCCCATAAGATCGGTGTTTTGGCAATCTAACACGAATTTTCGAATGTGACATTCAAACTTTTGTGTTTTTGAAGGCATCAAAAGATGCATCCTTTATATAAGGATGAGTTGCTGCGATATGGGACAGGTAGTTTTTACCTTAGCAACAACGACTTGTAAGTATCAAATGACTGAATGCCTACAATGAATCCATTGCTGTCTATGTGCTTGGTATTTTTTCTAGCGACTCTAAGCGATGATTCAAATCCATTTGTTTGCTTTTCTCTCAAAACATTTTCTACCACACGTGATTCGTGATGTCTGTCGTCGTATTTCTCAATGCACGAAGGCCACACTCAACGAACTTTTGGCCGCTGAATGGAGAGGTTCGGTTCATTTTACCAAACACGAGCTCGACCGCTGGTTGCTGCAATGTCGGAACATTTTTTTGCTTGACTTGCGGGTGATTTGTTTTTTTGGCGTCGACTCCTTTATAACAGGAGATATGTTTGCTGGAATCGGCTGAACTGAAGATTATCGTGCTACTGATGAGCCTGTAAAGGAGAAACAGGTCTGTTTGGCATTTTATGAATGCCATACCAGATCACACAAAAGGCTCAGCATATGTTATCAGATTATTATTTTGTTTCAGCAAGGTCTATAAAAGCAGTTGAAAGAAGAGGCATAAAGATTTAGAACAATGTGAAAAATTGCGGATCGGCTGTCGTATGAGCCTGCGTTTCGCCCATACCAAGGCCGCGTGCTATCCACCATTTGTTATTTATTCATATGACTCGTCTTCAAAAATTAATCGGAATTCGATTCATTTCTGCGCATTCATCCTCCATGAAGGTCTTCGAAAATAAAACGTGTTCTCTCAACTGCTGCTGCGAAATCTTGTTTTCTTCGTTTATGTCGTATAGTACTGATAGGAACGAATCTCCTGACGACCTAAAGCATAGTCCTATATGTACTGCAAGGGAGAGCGTTAAGGTAGGCGGCCAACTTCAGCACCTTGCTTCTTGACCCCCTGCAACACTAACATTAGAGTGACGGCTATACTGTTTAACTTGACACAACTTGATACTAATACGTCATACCTTTCCATGCTGGAAGCGTGACCAAACGCTTGTCGTAGTTCTTATTTCAAAGCCAAATTCTACATGCAACTCTTGTGCAATAAGTTCACATACCCATTGAGGTGTTCGCGGAAAAAATTAAGCTCATCCAACTTTCCGTTTAGTCTTTTAAGCCCCATGTCATCGAACTGAATCTGCTTGTCAAATCCGAAGTCAGACACCTTCTCGTCAATTCGTGCAGATTTATATCTTTTCGCTCCATCATGTCGAATTTTCGCAACGTGATTTGTTTTTATTAGCGAGAGTTCCCTAAAGTTCCCCCTTCATTCCTACAAATGCATTAACTAGCGATCGATAAATAGTACATAGTTGTCGCACTCGTGAAACGACAAGCCTTACCTCAAGCCCTTTAGATATCGCGTCACCCATTTTGAGCCACGCCCGCACGGCGACACACCTCGATTGCCCACTGAAAGCGCGACGTCGCGTCTTGACGCGAAATTGTATCGGCGCTACCACGGTGGAAACAAGGAAACTTATCTGGAAATTCCATATTCTAAGAAGAGATTGTTATTAAAGCAATCTCCCACATTTATTCGTATTTGTATAGCATAATCTTGACTACAAGAATACTTGTCGTCATTGAAAAGTAGAATTTACTTGACGAACTCCTATAAAGGCATTTCTACCAACAATGACGCCTGTGATTTCCAAAAAAAAAACCTCAGTTTCTAATACGAAAGGTACATCCCTGGATATAATACGGATTCAGTACAAGTATTAGTGATGGTGAAAAGCATTTACTGAGAATATTTATTTAGGCACTTTCCGCACAATATATACAACAAACATCTTCACAACAGTCTTCAAAAGGTACATCATGTTGCATAAAATTTCTAAGTTCTATTTCCTAGAAGACTGTAGCTAGCGTATCCTCTGAAAAACGAAGTCACCATACTTCGTGAACTTGCTTTCAGTTATCTGGAAATATGCGACTCATCTTCTCATAAATAGCTTGAATACTTAATATTAAGACAGGTAATGAGATAAACCATGTAAAAGAGAAATTACTCACATGGTTCTGGAGAATGACGTCCCATCCAGATCTCTCGTCCACTGACGGAAGCCACAACTGGCTGCAGATGGTCTCATTAAGTGATTAGGAGAAGTTGAAACTGGATGAAGTGCAGGAGATCGTCTTGGAGCATCAAACTGAAAATAATACGTAGAGCACTCAATTCAGTAGAAGTCTCATTTTTTAAAATTCACTCACAGTGGAAAATTATTGAGAGTTATCGATGAAATGGCATCGAGTGCAATGTGCGGGGTGCCATTTTTGACAAACGAATCGATGTCCTAAAAGCGTTTTGGTTTTCTTACATCTAACGATAAAATTATTAGAGGCTTCTCAATGATTTCTACCATAAAATAAGTATGAATTCTCCTACTGAAGGTAGAACTCTGAAATCATTCCGAAACCATAATACGGTGATTAATGCTATAGGAAAGAGAATAAGATACGAGAATCATCGACATTGATAGTACTTACCTGGATACTTGAAACGGTCCGTCTTCACTAGTTGTGCTGACACCAGCACATATTCCATTCGTCCCTTTGTTGCGCGACAGTCGTCCATGACGGTGGTCCAATTTGAGCATGGCGGCTGATGCAAGTGTCATACTGTGACCTGAACAATGGCGACGAAATTCACCCATCGACCAAAATTGATAGTATATTAATCGAAGTGAGTTGAGCTAAAGAACAAAAAATTTATGAGCGTTAAATGTGAGACTTACCTCGTTGGTTACGGTGGAAGACTGACTTGATGAAGAAAAAGTAGATTTACTAATCTTTTAATCATTCAGTCGTCCTTTCAGTTTTCGATATGGCATGATCTGATATGTATCCAAAATATCTGAACTCTGATCCTGACATAAATGTTCTGAGCCGCTTGTGGGTCGATTATTTAGGCAGGCGCTGTTTCGTCCTTCAGGATTCATCAGTAGCACCTCCCTCGGTTCCGCCGACCCCCCTGAGGTTAAATAATCTTCTATAAAGGAACCGACGCCGATTAGTAAATTACCCCAAGTCACATGATGTCGTTTATCTGACATTTCGTGACAGGCAGTAGAGCTCGTAGCTATTACATAGCTCTTCTACCGACTGCCTTCTATAGACCAGCTCAAAACGTGCTTTGAGAGACTCTTGATCGCCGAATGTTCGACGAATCCATACTCATCGTCGCATGGCCGGGGCCCTACTGCCAAGGTATTCAACCTTTCTCGACCTCCATACGTGCGCGTGGTACGGACAGCTTGCTTGGACTTCACGCGACACAGTCCATGGATCGACGGTCGTTCTGGACGTCAGGTCGTCTTTAGGGTTTGGTGCATCTTTGAAACGACGGGATGGAGAGGTCGGCTCCACGCGTGCCGCAACGAGCATCCCAACCACTCGGCCACAGCGCCGCTTTTGAATACAGCAGAATTTTGAATAATGAAACGAATCATGCATAGAAGAGAAGGTTATGAGTCGGAACTTGAAACTGCAACGAGTGCGACCCACAACAATCGAAAAAAGCGACGCTTTCCGGGGTGCCCGCCGTACGTACGCAATTACCGTATCCATATGATCCATGCGAGACCATCTGTATAGTTCTATCTTGCGGTTGATAGAATAAAGACAATAGAGAGTCGAGCTTGAGCATTGCTGTAGTGACTGATTGTGTTGCACTGATCTCATAAAAAAGCATATTTCGATTTTGAAGTTATTTTGCGCGAAATCTGAATGAACGCCACACATTATTTAGTGAGAGAGAGTAGTAAGAGAGTAACAGCCCGATAGTGCAGTGGTAACACGCCCCTCCAGAAAAGGTGAGACGCAGGTTCAACTCCCAATTGAGGTCCAATTTTTGCATATCATGTAACGTTCTCGACTACATAATTATCACATCGTAGGCACATTTTTTTGAGACACTCTATTAATCCGTCTTCACAGTGCTTCTTTTTTCACTGTGCGGATCACAGTACTTTTGGCATTCAGTTCGTTCTTTTCTCTTATTCTTGAGCGTCGTAGAATACTGACTGAGCGAGTGTCGTTGCAACCTCGATTATGGCCTCTGTGTGGCGTTTCATAGAGCGCTATTGTTGACTTCCTGAGAGGGTTTGGGGGTGGAGCTCGGCTCCATGCCTGCTGCGACAAGCATTACACCCATTAGGCCATAGGGGCCTATAACATCGAACCCACGTTTGTGAAAGCAATAAAATAATAAATATTGTTCTACTCAATTTCCATCGTAGACCCGCATTACGGCGATCTACTCGAATTGAATGTGACATAATATTTTTTGCTCTCCACTCATCAAATGATCCATTCCATTACTGGGAAGCATCACATTGGTGCCATATATAATATACCGTAGGTTTTTCCCTTAAGCAAGATTACCATGTAATTATCGCTTGACCCCATAACAATAATGGATCCGGAGTTGTTTATGTGTTGAAATTGCTGTGTTGAGAAATGAAATTGATTTTCTGGTGAGCAGTGATGAGGAGTTTAATACTTGAAGATCCTCTATAAATTTGAAGAATTCTTAGAAAAGTGCAAAAGTGTATCAAGGAAGAGGTGAATTTTCCAGAAAACATGACAATTCTGAGAACTTTGAGAGGCCAATAGGTCATAGCGAATTATTGTTATTTGCAACAAATGAACAAGTATCACTATTCAAGAGTGTAGTGAAGAGCTGACTGAAAATTCTTCTTCCGTACCGTCTTTCTATTAATTAATCTCCACTGATACAACGGGGACATCTTTGTCCTGACTGATGTAGTGAGAACATAGAAAAAGCTGCAGTATCAGAAACTTTGAGGAATTAATGATTGATGAACTCTGAGCTGTTCTTGAAATTACATCGAATCAATGTATAATTTCGATGAGGAAAGCTACCATTAAATATGCCAAAGTATTAAATCCAGTGCAAGAAATTTAGTGTTCCTCAATTCACGGAGATAACTGGCTTTTTGATTACGGATTACAACACATTTGAGAATGCTGGCAATATCAAAAAGATAAGCATAAATGACAGAGCTAATAAGCTTTGAGTGGGTGTGGAAACCTGAGAGAAAAGTCGTGTCTAGCGAAAAATAATCAAATATGCAACGCAGTCTTATTCTTGTCGATGCAGCTCGCAAGGAGAATTTTTTCAGAAGATTAGCACAACATTGAGATCTTCGCAATTTCAGCCATCGAGTAGTTTTTGAACGCAACGATTCCATGTCAATATTGCAATTTACATACACACACAGATGCAAGGAATGAGCGCGCATGTGAAATGCAATCTCAATTTCAGTAATGCAGCGCAATAAAGAGAACCTATGGAAAAGCAAGAACAGTGGTAAATTTGTCGAGATTTGTGTTATCGAAGAATTACTTTTGAGGAAAAGCTTTGCTTATCAAGAGACACCTTACAACATTTTAGTTTCACTGATACAGTGTAATTTAAAGGCCATTCAAAGTATGAAATGCGCCTCTCGCGATTTTAGTTATCGAATAACTACTAAAGTGCCTAGAAAGGACGTAAAATACGTTTTTTTTTTTGGTTATGAATGCTGATAGAAGCTGCACCATATCATGCGTGATGATGAATGCGTGCCCTTCTTACACTTACTCGAGCTGCACATTAGAATTACCACTATATAAACCTCTATTAGAAATTTTTAGTTGTAAAAGATGTGTTTTCCAGCTACGTGTCCGCACGACAGGCGATACAAATGCGCAATCACCTGTATCACCTGTCGTCCCGTTGATCGTCGAGTGACTCGAGCGGGTACCAGCAACTCTTCCATTTTTCCCTATCGCGTGCAAGAGTAGCCCAGTGGGTCCTCCTTGCTCTAGGAATTCGCTGAGCATCATATCTTTCTTCCATCGCTTTCGTGAAGAAATCGGACCAACGGGTCAGTGGTCTTCCTTTAGAGCGCTTGACGTCCCGAGGAATCCAGTCGGTAACGGCTCTCGTCCATCGGTTGTCGTTGAAGCGCATCACGTGTCCGGCCCACCTTATTTTCGATATCCTGGCGTGTAGAACGGCGTCTCTGATTTTCGATCGTTGACGTAGGTCGGAAGTTCGGATCCTTTGTCTCATTTGCGAAATACGAGATACGATAAATGCGCAATAGGGGTTGGAATTTGTTAATTTCTTGCAAGGACGTGGTAAAGCTGTTGAAAAACGAAGGATTGCAAGATTTATATCAAGAACATTTGTGACAGGTCTATTCTTGATGTTCCATTCTCTATGCAACCTCCGACGTATTATATTAATCCATAATTACCAACAGACCACCTATGACGTCCAGGCGGCGGGATAGCATAATAGGTGTGAAATGTGATCTTATTTTCGCTCTTTCAGTGTCTATGGTAATCTTTCGAGAAACCATTTACACTATCAGAATCCTGGAGCTTTGGGCGATCTGATAATTATGACAACTTTAGTGAAGAGCCATATCGAAGCCCCTGCCTAGTAAATGAAGAAAATTGAGTATAAAATATTTAATTTTATTTTCGCTGTTGCAACCTAATGAAAAGACTTTTTAAAAACTGAATAGATCAACAAAAATTGAAAATTCAAGCTTTCGAATAACTTTCAAATTTCTAGGCGTACACTTTTATACAGCGAGAAAGAGCTTCAAACTATCGTGTACCTCAGCTGGTACACGTCATCCCTTGGGAGTGAAACCTTGGCAAATTTCTTCGGATATGAATGAGTAACAAAAGAGGGAGTAATATGAAAGAAAGAGAAAAGCTTAAGAGATTCGTCCTTTCAACCGCAGTGAAACTGATGGACAAAACAAAACACAACAATTCTTCTAAATGCGTTCTGTCTTCTATGAATGTGTGTCTGGAACAAAACACTGTTGTAATGAGATTCTTCTACCCCGATGGGGACTGTAATAGCAGTCGGCCTCGCACGGCAATCGGTGCAATCGACCTAGCATATCGAGCACGCTGTCTTCATATTGTTGTAGTTTCGCAACGCATTCGGACCTTTATCGTCACTAAAAGGGATTAATATCATTACCATCAAAAGATGAAAAGTGAACGGAGACGCTGCAATAATGCTTTTTCTGTTGAAATATACCAAAGCAATCTCAAAACAACGACTTATAGTCTGAACGTCTAATGTCTAATAGTATTAGAAAGTTGCTCCGAATCATCTATGAAGTGACATCATATTGCTATGTGCGGTATCATTTTTGAGGAACAAGTGGTTCTTTTCTGTTAGACGTCACGGGATGAGGGCATAACCTCTTTCACTGGGCAAGATATTTCACGAGAGGGTTAGTAACCAGTCCTAAATTCAAATCTCTGGCTAGTGCGCCACATAACCGTTTTTTGAAAAGACTTCTTCCTAATTTTTGATTTTTTAATAGGAATTTCTTCCCGCTTTGAAAGACTCTGCAGATAACACAGATGACTTCGATACTTCAAGATTTCCTTCAAACATTCATGTGTTTTTCCTGATTACAGAGAAGTAATAGTATAAGCGCATGACAAGTGTGGGACATTTTATTTTGAATGATACAGCGCTTCAAAAAGGTCTTTTTTGAGAAGACGGCTACGGCAGCCTTATATTAAAGCTTTCGCATAACTGCTAACTCCTAGAAAAAGTCCTTCTCCATCAAAAGGGAACGTATCTTCACTCCGTGTTGTACAACAAAAAAGAGCGACGTTGTTTCTCAGAAATGATATCAAGCTTGCAGTATAGTGCTACTTCATTGCTAATCAGGAGCAACTTCTTGTCATTAGTGCGTAATAGGAGCTCAGTGGACAATAACTTTTATATTATCCAAATATATTCTGAAATGAACTTTATTTATCGCTGCATCTTTTCCAGAGAAGGTCTCAAACAGGTGAACGTAAAAAGTTTAAGGCTCCTTCTGGTCTCATACAGAAAAGTCCTTCTATAAAGATCCTTCTATAAATTTCCCATTGTAAAAATCTGTATTCAAAATACATCAGAAAAGTCCTTCTATAGAAGATTCCTCTAAAAATCTTCCATTGTAAAAATCTGTGTTCAAAATACTTTTAAACAACGTCGTCGGAAGAAATATGGAGAAAGAGCTGAGCTCAAAACACGCTGTCAATCCAACTATGCAACTTTCAAATCTAAGGCTGAGATCTTTGGAACAACTGAACGTTCTTTCCTTTGAAAGCACGCTTATAGAAGCACCAGCAAGAAGAATCTGTTTTTTTTTTCACGGCAACAATGTTTCCTTAAAATGATATTCCACTAGGTAATATCAGAGAACCCACTGTGAAGATGAAACAGAAGACTACGTAAGCAATACATCATCTTTTCGATACTAGCGCGTACTATGGAGATTTTTAGAAATCAAATCAAGTGCTAAAGTCAGGCTATAATGAATGTTTATAGCAGGGTTCAGAAACACTCTATTGAAGGAACATATCTACATAATCACTACTAGTTGCGGTGTAGCGACTGAAAAGTTGGCGATAACAAAATATCACGTGTTGTCGCTGTAACGTCTTCTCACCTCTGCCATAGAATAGGGTTTAGTGTGGGGCGTGTAGCTCTGATGAAGCTGGCGATATCGCCGAAACGTAGATAAGCTACTGACGCACCAATCTCGAAATGGCTTTGAACATTCACACAGACTATATTAGTTGTCTTTAGCGAGATTTGAAAGCAGTCTGTCAATTGGAAGAAAACTTAATTTGATAGAGTCTTCATTACTCAAGCTTTCGAATGAATAGTGAGCCTAGTGAATAGGCAAAAATGCGAAGAAAAGTCAAGAAAACGAGCATACATGACATAAAATGTGACTGTATTCCACACAATTTGTAATGGAAAGTGAAGATTCCTAGGAATACGTGATTATTCTTCTCACTAG